AAAAGAAGAGTCTTTTTGATGATCGACCGCAAGAGATTCATGAATTGACTTACCTCATGGTGTATGCGTTACAATCTAAATTAGCCAGCATGGGCACCGACTTCAAACCGTTGTATACTGTCGTACTGTTGTATATCAGAAACTTTAAACGTCTAAAGCTATATATAAGGAATTCGCAAGCTAACATAAAAGTTTTATTATGAAATTTCAAACAATTAAAAAATAGTTGGTGGTGATTTATGCAACCTCACAAACGCGGTTTTTCATTATCATGATACGCGGTTTTGCATTTTGTTGATACGCGGTTTTGTACTTTAAACGACGACTTGCAAAGGGCGCTATGTAAAATTTGTTCGATTTTTAGTTTTTGATGGATTACGTACCAGTATTTAAAGTAGTTTCATGTCCAGTAACAACAGAGTGCAAAATCTTTTTATATTAGCATCAAATGTTAAGTCTTCTTCCAAAAGTCGCTATCATACTTATTTATAAACTTTCAAAAGTATCCATCTTCTGATGAACTTAGAGAACTGCTAGAGGTCGTATAGACTGTTAATGTTATCTTATGACATGTTATGTTACGTTGCAATTTTATAAGGCTCTTTTTTATCCCAATTTTTAGGTAATAATAAAAAAGATTAAATTTGAATGTTACTTGTTGTCGTAGTCGTTTTTTCAAATTTATGGCTTTCTATTATAACATCACATAACGCTGTTTGCAAGTGGACTACTCATATGTACATTTCTTATTCGTTATCACGACAGTCAAAAATTGATCTCTTTGTTAATTTTTTGCGGCCCTGAAAAGGGCCTTTTGTGTATATATGGTATTGTGTATGTAGTTCTCCTCGTCCGCGCGGTTATGGCCCATAAGACCTTCGGCTTCTGAAATGTACTTTTTTATAACTAGGAGAACTTCAACTATATAAACTTGTAAAGCCTTTGGAAGTGGACTACTCCAGTAGATCGCTCACAATGGTTTTGTACACTTGCTGCTGGGCTTCCTTGTCAGGATCTGGTATTTCCGCAGCAGGCTTGAAAATTGTCGGCACAACGCCCCGCTTTAGTTTACGGTTTTTAGCGCAGCCTAACACAATTTAAAACATTTCTTTTAATAAAATGCAGTGTTACTGAAAAGTGAAAAATATAAGCTTCCGGGGGGTTTCATATTTACGCTGAGGGCGGCTACCTTTCGTGAAATTTACTCCTGAGTCACACCATCCTCACGAAATCCAATAAGCGTTTATTGGCGAATTAAATAGTATAAATTACCCATTTTATATTGAAGCTCGTTCTCGAAGTCATCAGTAGTGAAGTGTTTTACACAGAT